ATACAGGCAGCTCGGTGCTGCTGGCTGCATAGCTGGGTTTGTGGGGCTCAAGGGAGAGGGGGCAGAGCCACTGGGAGGCCTGGGGGGTGGCAGAGCCATCACATGACCCCAGCCCAGGGGTTGGGACTAAATGGGATTTTTGGGGGGGTTCTGCTGTTACTTGGTCTCGGCCCAGCTCCCACAGATGTCCGCACTCCTCTGCCCCCTGGGTATCACTTGCTCCCTTGGCAACAGCCTGCCAAGGTGATGGGGCCCCAGGGGCTCAGACACTGACCACGGGCCCCTTAGATCTGCCCTAAGGCCTGTGGGGTGGAGTCGACCTGGCGGTGTTCAGGCTCTGCTGCCCTGTGCTTTGGGCTGGGGTATGGCACACAGGATGGACTTTGCCCCCTCCTTCCCCTCACACTCTTTAATTGCAGGGGGGGCTCAATGTCCGTCCCCCCCCCCCCGGGGTTGCCACCTGACCAGGTTTTCCCTGGATCACCCCTCTTTGGAGGGAGTTGTCCCAGGAAATCTGCCCGGGGCTCAGCACTCCTGGCTAATTGTCCAGTTCTGTGGGCTCAGGATCCGCCCGGACGTCCTAGGCTCAGAGGTGACAGCTCCTCCTGCAGGGTCTGTCTTCACTGCAGTTAGCCTGACTCTCCCCGAGCTCCACCCCATTCCCTCCCTGAGTGTGGTGGTGCTTTGAGCCCAGGGCAGCTAGCCTGGCTGGGAGGTGGGCTGGAGTCTGGCACCGTTCTCCCTAGGGCTGGTGACCTGCCCGCGTTGCAGAGAGGATGCAGGTTAAATCACTCCAGTGCTGATAGTCCTCCAGTGCAGATGGCAGATGAATGGAGCAAAGCAGCCAGGCTGGAGGGTAGTAGGTTTAGTTTATTAGTCAACAGTGTCTGCTCTTACAAGGAGGCAGTACAAGCTCGTGGGTGTGAAGAGGACGTGGGGCCCTGACCCCTCCTGGCTAGATGGCAGCTTCTCTCCTCACACATTGCTGGGGGTTGGGCCGCACTTCTCCTAGCTACCGTCCCCAGAGATGTCAAACATGAATATGCACCAGTGTCAATAAAGACATGGCAGAGCTGGCGGGGAAAGGGAAGACAGCAGTCGGGCTAACTAGACACCTGTCAGGCAAATCCCAAGGCCCAGCGTGCTAGAAGCAAGCAGACTGTGAGGAAACATGCAGCTCTATGTCAGAGACGGGACATAAAGCTATTTCACAGCAAGAGAACATACCCCAAGCTGTGCTAGTGACCTGGAGTTCCAGTCCGGGACCTCGAAAGGCCCCCATCCGCCCGCCCCCCGCCTGGGGGCTGCCCTATAGGAAGTCAGTGGAGCTGACCCTGCAGGCAGCAGGGTGTCACACGCCAGCCTGCACCTGTAGCTTCACCAAGGGGCAGTGCCGTGGAGGGCAGCTCCTTCTGGGATGGCAAAGCTGACTGGCTCTGCTGGCCCAAGCAAAGAGGGGATGAGGCTGGGGGCCTGGTGGGGCCAGGACTCACATCTGCGCTCGCTGAAGCAGTGACTTCATGCAGCTGTTTTGGGCCCTCTGCGCTGTCTGGTGGGGCAAAGGGCTGGAAAGCTGCAGGAGTCCCCTTGGCATAGGTGCGGGGAGGGGTCCCAACTGGAACAGCCAGCTCCTACGCCGGCCCTTGTGCAGCCCTGGTCATACTGCACTCGCTATTCTCAGCTAGTGTGTGCCCCCTTGGGGCCACAGCCAGCCAGCAAATTTAGATCTGAGGCTGCTTTAAAGTACGCTGCGGCTGGGGTCCCCTGTAATGATCAGGAACCCACAGTGAGCTTCTTTGTGGCTGTCAGCTCCACCCAGTGGCCTTTCGTTCTGCCTGCTGTAGGCTGCTGGCACATGGAAGGACGGAGCATGCTTAATTCTGGGACGGCTCTTGTCAGCGGCCTGTGCGTGTGCACATGCAGCCTGCTGGAGGGGCACACTCACACACCAGAGGAGTCTCTGGAGTCCTGCTCATTTGGGGCATGTTTAAATCCAGCTTGCTGTGACTCGGATGCAGAAAAGGAGGTAAGGGGGAGCGCAGACATCACTGACCGGCTTCTTGGAGGGGGGTCGTGTCCTTTTCTGGACTAAGCCCCTGTGCAAAGGCCTGGTCTGGAATGTGATCTACCCTAACGTCCACATCCTGTGTTTGCCTTGAGGGGAAAGTGGCACAGCCCAACCCCTGGCATTCGGTGACCGGGTGGCTCCATTGAAAACAGCCATCAAGCCAAACTCCGGCACAAGCATGGACTAGCTTCAGCAACATGCTGACTCTACCGGGCCTTCCAGCCCCGCAGCAAGCTCTGTAAATGAGCAACGACTCACCAAGCAGCGTCCTGACAGTCCTAGGCCTCCGTTCCCTTCCCACAGCTCTGAAACCAGCACCGCAATGCTTTGTGAATGTCTGCGAGCCCCGGCCAATGATTAGCACATGCAGACAACCCCCTCCACACACACACAGAGACATGGCCACACGTGTGTGCCCACAGACACGCTCCACGCCGACATCAGCCCACAGGGGCGTGTGTGCAAGCTCACGTGCAAATGTACTTGCCCACAGGCTCACATAATGTCACACCGAGAGGCACATTCAGGCAGACAGTCACACTCGGAAGCAGGCCTGCTCACACACGCCTACTCATGCTAAGCTGCACACACACACGCACAGGTTCTCACGCACACGCATACACAGGTAGAGCTGCGTAGGGACAGATCTCAAGTGTGAGGGAATTAGTTTGACACCCCAGAAAGCCAAACCTTAGTGAGCTGCCTGGGATTGCTCTAGAGTGTTAAATAGCAAATTAGTGTCTTTAAACTCGCTGAAGCTTAAACATTGAGGTTACAGTAAATTTTAAACTGGGCTCATCCAGCCAGCGGAGCAACGCGATTCCCCTTTATCTACAGGCAGTACCTGGGCCCCATTCACCACCCGGAACACGCGGCCATACACACGCCTGAAACCAACGCACTGCCACCTGCTAGAGACACATTCCTAGGCAGCGGGAGCTTCCTGTTCACATGAGCTGGAGGCCCTCAGGCTTTGATTTCGACAGAGTTGGCCTCCTCCTGCTCCCGGATGATATGAACGCCAGCAGTCCGCAGCATGCGTGTAGCGCTCCGGGAGCGCACCGGAGAGCCTGGGGACCTGGGCGGGGATTTGTGTGTTCTGGAGGAGGCTGGAGATCGGGCTGGGGAGCGGTGATATCTGCGAGCCGATCGAACAGGGGGACCTGGGGATCTGCCAGGAGGAGAGCTGGAGTAGCTGGGCGGTCCTTGCTCGGCTGCGGTTCTGGCATCCGGAGGGGAATCCTCGTCCGCCTCCGGAGAATCCTTCAGGAATACAAGAAGAAGCAACAGGCAGCGTTCAGGATGAGCTGGGCAAAGACAGTAGTGACATTGCACTTAGGGCAGGCCTTAAAAGCCAGCAAGAGGCAGATCCTGCAGGAGTGCCATAGCTGGGTTCTCCATCCAGCGCTTTTCCATTCCCAAAGACACACAGTGTTAATGCTTGTGTGAGCCCCAAGTCACAGCACTAGGAGTCATGGGCAGCCTTTGACAGCATGGCTTACTATAGCTTTCAATCTGCTCCATCCTCCTCTGAGCACAGACAGGCCTCAGGCCGCTGCAGAGTGGGGACAGATCATGCCAGAGGGCATTTGTAAACAGCATCAATCGTGTTTGCTCCCAGGGCAGGACCCCCGGACTTTTGACGGGGTTTCCCAGGAGATGCATGCCCTAAAGCGCTGCTCAGATGGCGCTTTCTGATCTCCCGAGCTGCGGATTATCGCACACACCGGCTCCCCTCCCTGGAGACGGTTCAGCCAGCAGAGGATCAGAATGACACGTTTTGCTGCCCACGCCTGCAGTGCTTCCCTGTGCTCATGGAGGCTTCTCCACAGCACCCTGCTCTCTGCACGTCTACCAGCCGGTGTCGCCCTTGAGTCACAAGATGCTTGAATGAGACAAGCCAGGATGAGCCGGCAGAGAAGGATGGGGGGCATTGTTGAACCTGAACTTGTCTCCCTTGCTTGTTCTTTTTAATAACAGCGCAGGGGAGAAATGAAGAAGCCACAGTCCATGGTTAAGGATGTGAGTCAGCTGCCATTAAAAGGCTGATTTTTATATCCCTCCCAGGTTGCATTCTGAAAAAAGCCCCTTGCTGTTTGAAATTCCTTGTGTATTCAGTTCAGCCAGGGGAGAATGATTTGGAAAAGTTTGGGCTTACCAAGCTAGGTTCGGGACTTAGCAAACTGGGGGGGTGGGTAGGGTGGGGAGTGGGGGAGGGAGAGGGGAGTTCAACTTCTGAAGAATCTTGTCATTTCTCTTTTCTGTTCTGTCTCTGTTAGGCCGGGGGCTGGCTACCCGCTATGTGTTTGATAATTGGTTCTATGAGATGCTTTCGTGCGGGATCACTGTCGCGCTGAGTGAAGCAGGAAGGCCTGTGAGATGCCCATCCTGCCACACCAGTGCTCTGCTGCTGGACATACTTAATACCAGGGCCGGCTCTAGGTTTTTTGCCGTCCCAAGCAAAAAAATTTTTGGCTGCCCCCCCACTCCAGCCCTGGGCTCTCCCCCCACCCGCACCTCCTGCCGTCCCAACCCTGGGCTCTCCACCCCACCCCACACGCACCACCGTCACCCCAACTCTGGGCTCTCCCT